GGGGGGCAGCTGTTCAAATCTCTCCGACCTCTCTGTGGGTTTCGGAGGAACTTGAAGCTATCAGTTCCTCCCCAGATGGTGCTTGTTGGTAGAGAGAGCCCAGGCAGGGGAATTTCACAGAATGGGCTCCAGGCTGCTGGGTAAATGCCTAGCAAGCGGAGGTAATCTGCTCACCTCTGCACGGCTTCCAGCTCTAGCCTGTTCTGCAACTCAATCACTAGCACACAGCTAACCAAATTCCTGCTCCGGGCTTGGGGCCTCCCGTTATGTGGCTCAGGAGCCTCATTCGCAATCACCATTAACCACAGCTGTTTGGGGCCCATAGTGTCATAGAATATTTTTTTGCAGAAACCAAAGAGGTTGTAGAGTCTTTGGTATAAAAGTAGAAGAGGGTAGACCTCTGGGCTCCGCGTCCCTTGCCCCCGCCCCCGCTCCCGCCCCGCCCTCAATTTCTCAGGTGCTAACTAGTGGTGAAATATTCCAAACTGGTGGATGTGGAGAAATGTTGCAAAGACTGAGAACAGGACCCTCTGATGTGGGTAAGAACTGGGTAACCCCACATACCAGCTCTTCAACAATCTCATTGCAAAGCTTTGAACTGCTTTAAAGTGAACCCTCCAAAGGCTGCCTCTCTGTCTCAGGTCTCCCGTTCCAACCCCTGCTGCGCTGTGTGTGTTAGCGAAGCCCCGGGGCAGTTCAGGGTTTCCAACCGTCACCTCACACAGCAGAGGCAGAAGCTGCGTTTGACTTTGCCAGTCTCCCATCTCTCCTTTCTGGTCTTCCTCTCCTTAGAGGACCTCCCTTCTCCTCTCTTCTCCAGCCCCATCTTCTCCCCCCCCCCCCATCAACTCCTCCTCCCTCATCTTCTTCCCTTCCTACGGCTCCTCCTTTTCCCACCTCTTCCGCCACCTCTTTCCCCACACCACAGCACGCACATTCATCCACACAAGCTGCTCTAAGGATGAAAGGCACAAAGACGCTGCAAGGAATGAAACTGGAACACCTCCAGTTTCAGATGCTCTTGAAGTAAAACCATCATTGTCCTGTTTGTCACTGTGCGTGTGCGTGTGTGTGCGCGCGCGCCCGTGTGTGTGTGTGTGTGTGTGTGTGTGTGTGTGTGTGTGTGTGTGTGTGTGTGTGTGCTGTTTGTAAATCCAAGGTTAACAAGTTATAAGAAAGAAGAATGGCAGGGAGGTCAGGTACTAATGTTCTTGGGCCCAGTGCAGAGGAGGGCACTGGGTGGCAGCATCAGACAGGGCCTTTCAGAAGTTTGCCAGAAAAGCCTTTTGCTAGCATTTCTTTTTGACAACGCGTTTATCAAAGCTGTGGTTAAAGAGGAAGGAGGAAGTCACCCAGCTGCCTCAACTCACTGCGGGCTTGGAAAGAGCTGAGACGGGGATGAGAGGGGCTCGGGGGAGCCCACAGACCCTTCCCTGGAGAACCCTGGCTACAGGAACTGGCTGTGACACCCCGCACAGGACAGAGGGCAGGCTGCCTTGGTGGCTAGGCCAGTGGGAGAGGAGCCAGGAGAGAAAAGCTACTTACCTTGGAAAGGGACTGCAGATACAAGGAGTATGATCTGGAGGCAGCCTGGGGATATGCAGCTCCTGGAGATCGCTAGCCCGAATGCTGGCTCCCTGGAGGAGTATTTTTCATGGGGTGCAAAGGAAAACTGAGGGGCACCATTTGGAATTCTGCGCTAGGTAAAGTGTTCCAAGTACAGGCAGAGACAAATAGATAGACACAGGGGATGGGGAGTGAGTCTCTTACCTATTTCTAGGCAGGCACTTAAACCCCAGTGTTCCAGGTCAGCCATTCCTTCTAAAGGACCCTTTTAATCAGAGTGGGCTTGTGAGTATAATAGCCTTAACCAGAGTATCTGCAGTTCCTGGAAGGCCCTGCTTTCCCCCTTAGAAGGAAAGGCACCAGCTGGAAGGAATCCCAGGTCAGTGAGACTGCTAATGAAGGTGACCTGCAGAAGCATAGCAGATACAGGATTTCTCTGCTCAGCTCGTGAATTATAACTCAGCACTTGCTTGCAGTCTTACAATGCTGTTAGAGTCTCAAGAAAGCCCAGAACTCTTTCCACACAGTCTTCACGGCTCCCTTTGTAGCTCCAGGCAGCCCAGCAAAAGGAAAGCTGTGCTCTCAGTCCCTATCTCATGTCCAGCTGCTCTTACAAAGTGCGGGGAAGCACCGCAGATCAATAGCTATTCTGGGTTAGCATTGCCATAGCTTTTTTTTTTGCTTCCCTCCAAAAAAAGGAAGCCCCTCCCCCCATAGACCACAGCTTATTATAGCAAAGGCATATTTTATGTGGTCTATTTATGAACATGAACATTTAGGTAGAGAACTCTTTCTAGTTCGAATGCACTTCTTCGTCTAATCAGCAGACCAGTGGTGCTTTTAGGTAGCTGTTCTTATCAATTAATTAACTAATTAATTAATTAAAACATTTGAAGAGCCTGAAGCTGTGTGCTAGCTCCAGGTTGAGAGGTGGGTCTGCTGACCTTCTGTCACCTGGTCCCTGGATGAGCACAAGCTGATAGAGACCCCACACAGTTTGTCTGCTGGGTGGGTCCCTCTGCCCACAGTGGCCCTGCTAGTTCTGTGTGCTGGGACCCAAGCGCTACGGCACACATCACACTGTGTCTCCTTACAGCGAGGTTGTAATGAGCGGAGTCCCTCAGGGGACATTAATGGGAAATGAAAAGACAAACGAGCATATATATGAAAAACCAAGCCATGAAAAATCACTCCTCAAATGCACATGGCATCTACTTTTCTGTTCCTGTTTACATGATCTTAAGTTACCTTAAAGCTTTAAGTGACACTCTTTGAAGAGCCTATACATTACATACAGGAATGTGCGCATGCACTTGAGTGTGTGTGTGTGTGTGTGTGTGTGTGTGTGTGTGTGTGTGTGTGTGTGTGTTTAGAGAAGAGATTATTACAAACACATTCATCATTCATTCGTCTCCCCAACATACACACATATGCACACTATCTCTTAGCAGCTTCCGAAAGCTGTGTAGGAACCAGGACAGCTATTCCTATGTTTATCTTGAAGCTGAGGAAGGGAAGGCTCAGAAAGGTTGAGTCATTCAAAAATAATCACACAGCTGTCCAAAGCTAATTCAAGCCCTGCACCCCGACTCTGGGCCCATGAGTTGGGGGCAACAGGACTGTTGCAGTCAACAAGCAGGTGTCATGGAAGAAAACATACAAGGATGATTTCCCCTTGCCCCCCCCAGCAAGCTCTAAGCACCCCCTTCCCCATCACTGGGTACAGTCAGTGAACCACATAAATTCAAACTTTAGAACTGCTATGTTGCATGATTTTAAAGGTATTAAAATGCAAAACAGGAGCAAACAACATTTCTTGCCACAGGGAAGTAACTAATATAAGTTGACAAAATAATGGGATTGGAGTAAGGTCTCCAAAGTGGCCCTGAAATGGAATTCAAGAGTATTTTTAGTATGGATACTATGTGCTTGCTCTGTCAAGGATGATGGGAAGAGAATTCTCATTTATAAAACCAAGCTATAAAGAAAACAAAACCAAACACTGAACAGGAGGAAAGAGATGAATGGGCAGGAAGGAGGGAGAGGGCACACACCAATGCTTCAGGGAGATTCATGAATTCATCACAGCCTGGGTACCGCAGAAAGCCAGTGGCAGTCTCAGTATAGTCCAGGTCCCCTCCACCACAATGCCCCCAGGAATATGGCCTCCGAGGCTCCGACAGCTGTCAGTTTAAAGACTTCCAGGGGGAGGTGGGGGCCACTTGTAAGCACTGATCTGCAGTAAGAGGGCTGAGGACCATCCATCTGGTCATGGGAGTTTATCGTCACAAGCATCACTCAACACTGCCCACAACCCCAATGATCAGAGTTGCAGATTTGGTCTCCTGGAGACAGTCCCAGACCCTGCTGCAGACACAGCCCCTCCCCCTCCCCCTCAGTCTCCCAGCACAGTGAAGACAGGTAAGCAACTGCCTACTGAGTCCTGCATTATTTTATTTTCTGACCATTTCACCTTCGGGGAGTTTAGCTGTGTGCTCCCAGCATGCCCATTACCCTGTTCCCCATCTTCCCCATATCCTTAGGCAGTTAGTTAGCTCTTCATTCATTTCCCCATCTGGACTGCGACATGTAGAGGTCCTTCTAGTCCTGCATCTTGGCTTAGAGCATTGGCATGAAGGGATGAACACAGGGGAAGCAGCACCGAGCGAGCAACCAGGCAGTCCCTGGCAACTCAGCAGCCAGCCGCCCGCAGGCTCCAGGCAGCCTCGGCAGCTCCTAGCTGGCTTCGTTATTACACAATTGAAGCAAAGCCCTCCTCCCGGGCTGCTGCTGTCCTCCGAGAAGGCTCACATCTAGCTGGCAGGAGGGAAAGGCGTTAAACTCCTCCCAGCAACACACACACACACAACACACACACACACACACACACACACACACACACACACACACACACACACACACACACACGAGTTAGACACAGTTTGAGGACAAGGGCAAACTCCTGCAGAAACGGCCCCTGGCCAACAACTCCCAGGTCCTGTCTCAGAGCTCCTCAGTTCTGTAGCTACTTAAATCCTTGTTACTTGGCGGTCAATTTGGGTAACTTTTCAGATCTTTTCTCTTGGGCACTGGTCCACAAATGTTTGGGAGGGAGGTAAGGACACCTCCACCCGACTCTTGCTATCGCCCTGCCTTCCGCCCCGACACCGTGCTCGGAGGACAGTGTGGGGCAAACACTACATGCCTACTCCACTGTTGCTTGCCGGTCCAGGAAACACCACACAGTCACCGTCAAAGCACCACGCCACCCAGAGAGCGAGAAGGAGCCGAGGCAAGCGGCAAGCAAGCGGCTCCAGACCATCAGGATCCTAGCACCAGCAAACTATTTGCATGAACTCCCTAATAGATGTCTCCTGAGAAAAGGCTAGAGCCCCCGGGGAGGTGGCTAGAAAGCTTAAGAGGAAGTGACTCACCCTTAGGTTGTGTGTGGGGTTAACCACGCAGACAAGTTGCCCAGCAGCAGAGAAAACGCGTTTAGCCTTGTAGTGCTGAAACCGGAGGTGAATGAGATCCAACACAGCCCCAAAGCACTGGGTAAAGAAAAGCATCACAACTTTTGGGGGGTTGTTGGCACAGGAAGGCAGCGGAGGGAGCTCTGAATGGAGCACAGCGGCTGAGACACACGGCTCCAGCCCGGCTTAGCGCGCCTTCATATTCATCATCAAAATAAGACGGTTAGAATCTTGCAGCAGCGAGGCAGCCAATCAAAAGGACAGAAATGTTATCCTTGAGGTGCAGAGACAGCCAATAACAAATACCTCCCCTACCGAAACTCCCTGATGAATTGAGCCTGGCGGAGAATGTATTATTGAACATTACCATAGATCAGCACATTGCATTTATCTTGTGATTACAGCCAACCATACATAATGCTGGGGAGAGAGGCTGACAAAATTGATTGCTTAATGTGTCTCCATTTATTAATTGACTTAATTTAACATGAGAGCCTTTCTTAGTGCCCTGAACACCACCACCACCCCAAAGAAAAAAATGTAAAATATTTAAACCTCCGAACAGGAAAGCATTGTGCTCCCACAGGCAGATGGGTTAGGCGGCTGTGGCTCGACTCACCAGAGCTGCTGGGAGAAAATCAAATACTACAAGACACTGATTCTAGATAAGGACTTGGCAGCTGCAGAAATGTGTATCTTTCAGTCTTGTGCTCCAACTCTCTGCAATTTGGATTGTAGCCCCTTGATAATCTAACTCCCCACTCTTTATGCAAAAAAAAAAAAAAAAAAAAAACAACTGACAAATGAATTTGGAATTGAGGGGGGAAATGCATATATATATATATTTCAAAATACAGTAATCACTGAACTCTTTTATTAAAGCATAAAAAATGCACAGAGCTCGCTTCTAAAAATAATGAAATCCCTGATGCATGAACACACACACACACAGAGAAAAACCTACTCGGGGAAGAAAGTGGCTTGTACATCAGCGGAATAATTACAGATGCAGAGAACCTGTGCTTGTCATTCATTTGCATATCGGTGGGCAGTAAATTGCTAATTAACCAGTAGATTGTTGGAGACATTAAAGGAGAGATTAGGAACACAGGCAGCACAGCACTTGCTTGTTTGTGTGAATGCCAGCAGCATATTGTGTTGGAACAGGCAGAGATGGGGCCAGTCTTCGACTGCAACAGAGCACTGGCCACCCCATGCCCAAGGTGGGCTGTGGGGCCACCCATTGGCTCCTGAAGGAGGGCTCCTAAGCAGCACTTGGAGGACTTTGGGCTTCCTGGGAACAAACTCCTTGGTTTATTTAGTCTCTGCCACAAAAGCCCGAGAATTGGGAGAACTGCGTTTTAGTTCGTAGGCTCTTTCTGCCTTGAGCGGGTGGATAGAATCTACTGCTACTGTGGGAGGCTCAGACTCCGGAAGGAGCTGCAGCCATTGGTTTGAGGCTGTGGCTTCTTCCTGAACCCTCACTGCACTGGCCCAGAACACAGCCAACACATTGTAAACTTGCTTGAAACAATATCAGTTCAGAGACAAAACAAAACTCCACTGCTCCATTCACAATATAAACTCTATAGATGACACCTGTCTCAATGGCTGGACGTGTTGGGGTCACAGGACAACACAGGTTGCAATAGATGCAGACTCTCTATGACCCCAGGACACCCAAAGCCGTGACCCAGTCAGGCACTTAAGAACAGACTAAAGCACAGCGGAAAAGAGCGTGCCCGGGTTTAGAAGACCAAAGCAGAGCCCACATTTACTTTAACTTGATTTTAAAGCCAAATCAGTATCTGAAGCAGTGGTTCTCAACCTTCCTAAGGCTGTGACCCTTTAATACAGTTCCTTGTGTTGTGGTGACCCCCCAACCGTAAAATTATTTTCATTGCTACTTCGTAACTGTAATTTTGCTACTGTTATGAACCGTAACTATCTGTGTTTTCTGATGGTCTTAGGCAATCCCCCCCCCCACCGCTGTGAAAGGGTCATTTGACCCCCAAAGGGGTCGCAACCCCTAGGTTGAGAGCCACTGATTGAAAGTGACAAGTTGAACAGCAAATGAAATAGGATGCTAATGTTTGCGCTTTAACAATAAATGCACTGGCAAAATATATGACAGTGTTTGAACCAAACAAACCTGAATTGGCGCATCCTAAAAATAGGGTGTACGTCCCTAACCCCACAACCTGGGGTCTTGTTTGCTTTCTACTTTGCTGTGGTGAACACATGACCAAAAGCAGCTTGAGAAGGAAAGTGTTGATTTGGCTTATACTTCCGGGTTACACTCCATCACCGAGAGAAGGCAGGGCAGGAACTCAAGGCAGGAACCTGGAGGCAGGAACTGAAGCAGAGGCCATGGAGGGGTGCTGCTTACCTGCTTGCTTTCTATGGCTTGCTCAGCCTGCTTTTTTATGTATGTAACACAGGACAACCTGCCCAGTGGTGTCACTGCCCACAGTGGGGCTGAGCCCTCCCACATCAATCATTAATCAAGAAAACGCCCCACAGACTTGCCTACAGGAAACCTGATAGAGACAATCCTTCAGTTAAGGTTCCCCCTTCCCAGATGACTCTAGTTTGTGTCCAATTGACAAGAAACTAACAGGTTATTTGAAAATATGTAGTTTATAGTCAGATTTTTATAAGCAAGTGTTCCTAATTCCTACAAAATTAGAAGCAACTTTCAAAAGTTATATCATTTGTAATAAACTTCCAGCAATTAAGCACAATAACATTCAATGTTTTAATTGTCTTTGGGGGTGCTTTTTGTTTTTTGGGTTGTTAATATATATTAAGTGTGTGTGTGTGTGTGTGTGTGTGTGTGTGTGTGTGTGTGTATGTGTGCATGCTGTGTGTGCATGCACATGCCTTGTCCTGTATGCAGAAGTCAGAGGACAAATTGCAGGTGTCAGTTCTTTCCTTCCAGGATGTGGGTTTCAGGGGATTGAACTCAGATTGTCAGGCCTGGGCACTGAGCCTCTGGCCAGCCTCCCTTTTTGGTGTTTTGTGATGGGATTTTATATAGCCCCGACCGCTGTGGGATATCTTCTTGTATGTTGTGAATATGAGTTGCTCTGATTGGTCGATAAATGAAGCTGTTTGGCCAATGGTGAGGCAGAATAAGGTTAGGCGGTACATTCCAACTGGAGAGAGAGGAAGAGGAAAAGGAGAGGCAGAAGAGATGCCAGCCGCAGCCAGGAGAAGCAAGATATAAAAGTATGGGTAAGCCATGGCTGTGTGCAACGTATAGATTAATAGAAATGGGTTAAGTTATAGGAGCCAGCTAGTGAGAAGTCTGAGCCATTAGGCCACACAGTTTGTAAGTAATATAAGCTTCTGTTACTTGTCTGATCGACTGTGGGACCGAGCAGGACACAGGAAAACTTCCGACTACACCAGGCTGGCCTCAAATCTTCTATGTGGCCTAGGATGATATCCCTCTACATCGTGAGTGCTGTGATTACAGGTGTGCACCACTGTGCCTGATTTTTTTTTTCAATAAAAATGAGCATATAGACTAGGTGGTGGTAGCACACCCCTTTAATCCCAGCACCAGGGAGGCAGAGGCAGGCAGGTCTCTGTGAGTTCAAGGCCAGCCTGGTCTACAGCGTGAGTTCAGGGACAGCCAGGGCTGTTACACAGAGAAACCCTGTCTTGAAAAAACCAAAAACAAACAGAAAAGTGAGCATATATTCCCCTGGGCCTCTTAAAGCATCCTTCAGAACATCTAAACTTCCACTTTGACATTCTTGGTTTAAACAGAATTATTATTTCATTTACTTCTATTTTTTGTTTATTTTTGTTGTTGTTTTCTTGCCTTACTAGAAGTTAGTCCAGTGACAGTGAGGATTTTTTTTTTTTGCCATTCTCTTTTAAAAGGTACATTTAAAATAAAATAATCCCAGTACTCAGGGGACAGAGGCAGGTGGATCTCTGTGAGTTCGAGGCCAGCCTGGTTTACAGAGCAAGTTCCAGGAAAGGCACAAAACTAAACAGAGAAACCCTGTCTCAAAAAAAACAAAATAAATACTAAATAAATAAATAAATAAAATGGTTGTAAGCAATCTAAAGAAGCCATCAAGAAGACAAAGGCTGAGTACTTTGAGACATAGAAATGGATGCGCCTTTTATTTTGAAATTTGATTAAAGACTATTTCAGAACAGTTTCTGATTGACAGCAAACTTGAAAGGAAGGTGCAGGGAATCCCCTATGCCAGTGCCCTCACACCTGGGTAACTCCCACACCATCAACACCCCTACCAGGGAATCCCCTATGCCTGTGCCCTCACACCTGGGTAACTCCCACACCATCAACACCCCCACCAGGGAATCCCCTATGCCAGTGCCCTCACACCTGGATAACTCCCACACCATCAACACCCCCACCAGGGAATCCCCTATGCCTGTGCCCTCACACCTGGATAGCTCCCACACCATCAACACCCCCACCAGGGAATCCCCTATGCCTGTGCCCTCACACCTGGGTAACTCCCACACCATCAATGCCACCACCAGGGAATCCCCTATGCCAGTGCCCTCACACCTGGATAACTCCCACACCATCAACGCCCCCACCAGAGTGCGGAAGCTCCCTTGTAACAACTGGTAAAACCCCGATCACACATACCCACAACACGGGGTGTGTGCAGCTGACATCAGGATTCAGAGCATGCAGAGTAGATCAGGATCCTGCACATATGCATAGTGACAGCTCTGTCCCTGTCATACCAAAGAGGCATGCTGCTCTGAAAACCCGGCCCCCTTCACTCATGCCCTTCCTTCTTCCCAAACTCCTGGCACCACCGACCTTTTTACTGTAACGGTTGCCTTTTCCAGAATGTCCTACTACTGGAGCCATAAAGTATGTAGCCTTCCCAGAATGACTTACTTCACTTAATAATAATGTACATTAAGAGCTCTCCATGTCTTCTCATGACTTGACAACTCATCTGTTTTCAGGGCTGAATAATGTTCCTTTTTCTGAACATACCACCTGTTCTCCAACTGTAAAGTATTTTTATAGCTTTCAAGATTCCAAGAAATCATGAATTAAGATTCCATACACATCTGTTTCAGTTACTTTCCTGCTGCTATGGTAAAACACCATGACCAAAAGCAACTTAAGGAAGAAAGCCTTGGACATTTTTATTGTCTTTTATTTATTTATTTGGGGCAGGGGCCGCACGCACATGCCATGGTGTGCACATGGAGGTCAGAGGAC